ACATCATTATCAGTATTGTTAAATTAATTATTCTCAATATTTGCTACCAGACTGTCATGCATTCAACTAAATATAAAGTTAGGAGAATCAAATGACCATTTTATCATTAGAGCTTGTTTGGGAGAGTTTAAAATCCAATTAAAATTGAAAATATAACCGTTATTGGGTCCCACTCATCTCATAAAAGTCAACAATAACAGCTAGTTTTTCAATTTTAATCTGATTTTAATCTTTACCAAACTCCTTTATCCTAATTAATAATAGATAAAATCAACAAATCATCAAAATTAGTTTCTATCCAACACTAAGCCTCTGTTTGGTACCATAAAAAAATCTGATTAAAATTTAAGTCAAAGTCAATAATTAAACAAATTTAGTTTCTATCCAACACTAAGCCACTGTTTGGTACCATTAAAAAATCTGATTAAAATTTAAGTCAAAGTCAATAATTAATTTTAACCACAAATTTCATTGAATTCACAATTTTTCAACCGCACATTTTATCAACTTTTGATAAATCTGCTAAAAATCTAATTTTAACATTTACACCCTAAAATTACAAAGATATAAAAGCATTAAAACATTGAAAACGTACTGAATGGGCAAAAAAGAGTGACTGCAGAAGTTTATGATCAAACCAAATAAATGAAAACTAAAGAGTAAAACACAAAAATCATCAATCAACATGAAATTGCAAAAAGTATCTCTCTTTAAATGCTGAAGAGGACGACAAAAATAAGAAAGAAAAAGCAAGCAATTCAAAATTAAAACAATCATAAGCCCAATTCGAGAAAAAAAATAAAATACAGCTCAAACTATATATTCTTTCGATAGCAAAAAGTAAAATTACATTAAACTTCTGTTTGGTAGATTAAAATTATTTAATAAATTTTGATAAAAGTTATAAAATGCGCAGTTAAAAAGTTATGGATCTTATGAAATATGTTAATTTTTTTTTATCAATTTTTAATCTACGCCAAACGGGAACTAAGTTGATTAAGGACGTTGTAACCTAACCTCAATTGACATTTAAAGAGGAATTAAGACAAACGACAATAAAAAAGAATAGAATAATTTTAACTCCATTCTTGATTTATTTTTATTATCACTATGTTCTCGTAGAATTTGAGAGGAAAAGAAAAAAAAATTATAAAGCACATTGCCTATAACTAAATGTTAATATTTTATGTTGAAATCTTGAGAGAAATAAGTGACATTGACAAATATATACTATGTTTCTTTTAAAAGAATTAACAATCGAAGCATTGAAGATGATCGCGAATGAGCAATGACAGTATTGTCGATAATTGCTTGTGGATGTAATCTAGAATCATCGACGTCGGTGATGATCACTGAAGGAAATGATGTTGATAATGCATAGACATTGTTGTTTGTAGGAATTGTTTTCATTTGTGTCGTGATCACCGACAATAATAATGTCCACAATCATTTTATTTTTTATATTATTCTTAAAAAATATCCTTTGAGATTTACGTAAATTAAGCTCTCAAATTGATTGAGTCGCCCTCGTATACCGATCAAATTAATATGTAAGAAACAAAGGTATTAAAGAGAAAAAATGTAAACACTGCCTGATGCAACAAGCTAGCAAAACAAAATATGGGAAATTACCACTAATAACGTTGACTTGATTATTTAGAATAAATAATTAAGGTAGTACTTACTTTGAAAGTAATTCATTCCTTGCTGTCAACAAAGGTTACTTATTGACTTATACTTGAAGAAGAAGAAGAAGAAAACATATCTAGACCTCTTTGTTAATAAAACTTAATAGTAGTATCAACCCAATAGGAGTACCCTCACGAATGATAGTAGGACAAATATTTGAATGTCTGCTCGGGTTAGCAGGGGGTCTGCTAGACAGACATTATCGAATAGCGCAATTTGATGAGAGAGATGAATAAGAAGTTTCGAGAAAACTAGTAAGGATTCTTGTGGTTTCGGAAGTTCCAACTACAGGAGAACAAGGAATGGAGAGCTCCCCCTTTCCTACTAGCGATTCCGACTTCATGCAGGCGAGTTGTAGCCTGCAATCCGAACGTACAAATACTTTCTAATACTCTATTTATTTGAGTATCTCAACCAAATTAAAATTATCGAGACCGGTTCCGTCGGGTTATGGATTTATAAGAATTCAGCTATCCCAATAACAAAAAAACCTAATTTGAATGATCCTATATTAAGAGCTAAATTGGCCTTAGCCAAGAATGATATAAGGAAGAAAATATGGCAAGTACCATTTCTTTTCAATTTATTCATTAGTCTGATCAAAGAACTCACCAATTTGTGAGCTACAAAAGAATTTCTATAAAAGCAAAAAAAGAGAAATCTACAGATTCTACACCAATTGATGGAGCATTTGTGCTTAATCCAATTTATTACGGATTTGGTGAGGATCCTAAAAACCAAGGCATGGAAGCAAAATCTTAGGCCACTCAATTAATTTAGAAGAAGAAAGAACCAGCAACGGCGGCGGCAGCAAAAGCTCCAGCGACGGTGGTGACTTCAAGTCTGGTGCTCTTGGCTGATGGTCCAGGAGCAAGGTTGTGGAAACTTCCAGCCGGAACAGGTCCGCCAACAGGTGCTGCGTCGGTACTGTGGCCACCACTAACAGTGCCAACGACACCGTCTCCTCCGGCAGCTGAAGCCTTTGGCGCCTCAGCCCCGGCGGCGTGTGCTTCTTTGTGGTCTCCTGCAGCTGAAGCCATCCCGACAATGGCGAAGAAGACAAGAGCAAGGACAATGATTTCGCGTGCCATTTTTGCTGGTTTCTTTCCTTTTTGTTATATGTATGTATCTTGTATGTATAGATTGCGAAACAGTGCAGTGTGATGGGAATGAAGGTTATGGAGAAGTTTATATAGGGTCGACGGAGGGTGGAAATAAGAAGACGGCGTAGTCTACGGGCCCTGAAAGCTCGTAGTCTTGGGGTGGCCATGAAAGCTTCATCCTTGAACACCACACAATATTTATTGCATAATTTTGTACGGATTACATGGATTTTATTGAATAATTGACAAATTTTATCTTTTATTTTTCTTGATTAGTTTCTGTTTGGTATCGATTAAAATTCAGATTTTAAGTCAAAATTAATAATTTATTTTAACAACATATTTCATCAATTTTTATCAAAATCTATTAAAAATCAAATGAAATCCCCACCAAACAGGAGGTTAATTAGGTTGAGCAAAGGCTATATAGTGTGTACTAAGAGCTCATATGGTGAGACTTCTTTCGTTTTTGCTTGAATTTTCTCATATTTTGTATGTTCGACTATTCAAGTTTTATTAAGCTCCTGTTTGACACCCATTTTCTTCTCATTCTCATTTTTTTCGCTTTCTCCATTTGTATCTGATTGATGGAAGAATATGTGGTTTAATAAACGTCGATGATGATCACTGAAGGAAATGATGTTGATAATGCATAGACATTGTTGTTTGTAGGAATTATTTTCATGTGTCGTTGATCATTTACTCCTTTAATTTTATTTTTTATATTATTCTTAAAAAATATCCTTTGAGATTTACGTAAATTAAGCTCTCAAATTGCTTGAGTCGCCCTCGTATACCGATCAAATTAATATGTAAGAAACAAAGGTATTAAAGAGAAAAAATGTAAACAATGCCTGATGCAACAAGCTAGCAAAACAAATATGGGAAATTACCACTAAGACCGTTGACTTGATTATTTAGAATAATAATTAAGGTACTTACTTTGAAAGTAATTCATTCCTTGCTGTCAACAAATGTTACTTATTGAAAAGGATCAACCGCATCCTTGGCGGCCCCCACCTGCCTTGCCCTGGACTTTGGTGAAGGAGATAAATCGCAAGTTATGCCTCTAAGGGTACAGGGTGAAAGGCTGCTTGTACACTTTCACTTACCCAAGGGCTAAATCTATATTTCAGGATTCGAACCCTTGACGCGGCAACCTCAAGTAAAGTTGGAGTTTTTCCACCTTCCCTTTTACCACTTGAAGATGTGCCCTGGGGGCACAAATGTTACTTATTGACTTATACTTGAAGAAGAAAACATATGTAGACCTCTTTGTCAATAAAACTTAAAAGTACTTTCAACCCATTAGGAGTACCGTCACGAATGAATGTAGGACAGGTATTTGAATGTTCGCTCGATTTAGCAGGGGGTCTGCTAGACAGACATTATCGAATAGCGCCTTTTGATGAGAGATATGAACAAGAAGTTTCGAGAAAACTAGTAAGGATTCTTTTGGTTTCGGAAGTTCCAGCTACACGGGAACCAGGAGAGCTTTCCCCCCTTCCTACTAGCGATTCCGACTTCATGCAGGCGAGTTGCAACGCCTGCAATCCGAACGTATAAATACTTTCTATTACTTTATTTATTTGAATATCTCAGCCAAATTAAAATTATCATNTGTCCGGTTCCCTCGGTGGATTGATCTATAATAATTCACCTATCCCAATAACAAAAAAACCTGATTTGAATTATCCTGTATTAAGAGCTAAATTGGCTAAAGAAATTTTAAGCTTAGCTGAGAATGATATAAGGAAGAAAATCTGGTAACTACCATTTCTTTTCAATTTATTCATTAGTCTGATCAAAGAACTCACTAATTTGTGAGCTACAAAAAAATTTCTATTTTTTTTTTGGATAAGGTAAGTGTATTATATCTAAAGTATGAAATGAAAGTACATGAGCACAGGGGTATACCCCAGAAAAACAAGGCTAAAAAAAAATGCTTCCTAGCACAAACAAAAAACAGTACTAATAATCTAGTCACAACAATAAAAAATATCCGCAGAAAGACTCCATGAGCGTTGGAACCATCTATTCTCAGCAGATGGAACCAAGCCCCTACATAGATTCATACGTGCACAAACAGAAAAAACAATGTCTCGAATAACAATTGATGGAGCATTTGTGCTCAATCCAATTTATTACGGATTTGGTGAGGATCCTAAAAGCTAATGCATGGAAGCAAAAGCTGGCCACTCAATTAATTTAGAAGAAGAAAGAACCAGCAACGGCGGCGGCAGCAAAAGCTCCAGCGACGGTGGTGACTTCAAGTCTGGTGCTCTTGGCTGATGGTCCAGGAGCAAGATTGTGGAAACTTCCAGCCGGAACAGGTCCGCCAACAGGTGCTGCGTCGGTACTGTGGCCACCACTAACAGTGCCAACGACACCGTCTCCTCCGGCAGCTGAAGCCTTTGGCGCCTCAGCCCCGGTGGTGTGTGCTTCTTTGTGGTCTCCTGCAGCTGAAGCCATCCCGACAATGGCGAAGAAGACAAGGGCAAGGACAATGATTTCGCGTGCCATTTTTGCTGGGTTTTTTTTTTCTTTTTGTTATATGTATGTATCTTGTATGTATAGATTGCGAAACAGTGCGGTGTGATGGGGATGAAGGGTATGGAGAAGTTTATATAGGGTCGACGGGGGGTGGAAATAGGAAAACGGCGTTGTCTACGGGCCCTGAAAGCTCGTAGTCTTGAGGTGGCCAATGCCATGAAAGCTTCATCCTTGAACACCACACAATATTTATGGCATAATTTTGTAAGGAATACACGGATTTTATTGAATAATTGACAAATTTTATCTTTTATTTTTCTTGATTAGTTTTCGTTTGGTATCGATTAAAATTCAAATTTTAATTTAAGGTCATGTTTGAGCCACATTATTTTTTTCATTCTCATTCTTCTATTTATTTTTAACCACATATTCTTTAATAAAATAATATTTTCCATCACATGAATAATTTTTCCTTCTTTTCAATCACATATTCTCCATCATATCAACAGTAAAAATACATTCTTATAACTAAAATGTGCACCAAATAGGGGCTAAATCTAAATTAATAGTTAATTTTAACCATATATTTCATCAATTTTTATCAAATTCTGTTAAAACCCAAATTTTAATCCTCATCAAACAGGAGTTTAATTTGATTTGAGTATAGGCTATATAGTGTACTAAGAGTTCATATGATGGTACTTCTTTTGTTTTTGCTTCTTGTGGAAGGATTTTCTCATATTTTGAATGTTCGACTATACGAGTTTATTAAATAGTTGACAAATTTTATCTTACATTTTTCTTTCTCAGTTTGGTCGAGCATAGCATATTGAAGACCCCCGTTTGTTAGAGCTTCTATTTTTACTTCAACTTCTTATAGAAGAGTTTTCTAAGAAAGTTATTTTATGCCATCTTTCTTTAGAAACTCTTCTAATCAGACAAAGTACGTAAAAAAATCATCTAAAATGATCAAAAATAATTTTTTTATCTCAAAAACAATTTTTAACTTAAAAAGTCATATAAAACAGATCCTAAATTTCTTTCAAAAGTGAACTAATGTTTTTTTTTTTTTTTTTTAAGAAATAATCTTAATGATGATTGGAAAGCAAATCACACGACCTGAACCATTCACAAATACCAACTCTAACTAGAAAAATTAAGTACCGGTTTAGTCATAGCTTGAAAATCAAAAGTTAAAAAGTCGTGACAAAATTTGCTGAACCGATTGGTTCAATCACATTTTGTCATTTAGTTTTAAAAATATTGTTAATTTTATGTAATAATGTTTGAATTTATCAAAATCTACTAAAAATCTGTTTTAACTACACCGACAGAATTTGGATCACCATGTGTACATCTACAGACAAGAAATCAAGAATTTGCTTATATCAGATCAAGACTCCCAAATCAAACTGCAGAAATTACATCATATATATGTAAAGACAGGACAACAAAAACAGTACGTCCTAAATTATCGAGCAAACTAATTAGTTCGATGAGTCGACGACAACTTCAGATACTAAGGAATAATTTACAATTTTCGATAAAACCGGCCAAGAAAGGACACAGTTCATAGCACTTCTGTAGCATATAAAATCCCTATGGGGTTTACATCCCAGTCCATTGAATATGTCACAATCTAATGGAGAAATAGCACAAGTTAACAATCGCCAATTCTTCAGACACTAAAATGAATGCTTGCAACTGGGATGTCACTATGTCACAAGAAATAGAAGAAACTCGACTCCTCAGCAACAGTCATTAACAACAGATGCAGTGTCCAAATGAGCAATATATTAGCGATGAATGTGCATGATTTTGTGATGGAGCTTGTGTAAATCTCAAAGCATTTTAAGGTTGCAATTCAATGACAATGAAGCTTCAACATGTACAGCGACTACAAAAAAGGTACTAAAAGTCTAAAACACCTATTACAGCATTGTCGTACATGACTTTGAGACTTGTACAATATTTTTACAACTGGAAAGATGAGACAAACATGTCAAAATGAAACAATTACATGTACTACACGGAGATCACTATACACAGCTCAAATAATTGCTCTTTCCACGGATTAAAGTTTAAATTTCTCCGACAATTGACAAGGTCCAATGTTGAACACTTTTCACCCAATTCCTTGCAAGATCATGACTCAAAATTTAATTGCATGCTTGGGGAATACAAAGCAATGACCTATTTGATTAAGGCTTGTGCGCGAGGCTACATAGATACTAGCATTTCAAGAAAATATCCAAGAAATCACCAATTAAATTTTCTTCCTCCAGGTAACCAAACTCCGGGATCTTAATAAAAATAACAGCGGTTTGTGTCTTCGCTCCTGAGGACGATAATTAAGGAAAAATCCCCATGTCAATATTCACCAAAATCTTATCACTACTTCAAATATATCTCTAATAAACCATTTCCATTAATTTATTAATACAGTTCATTAATAACGTGACGAAGTCCATAAAGAGACTCGTACACACCTACTTGGCACATAATGAAAAAAAAGAACATTAAAATAGACACAATAAGAGTTTCATGATAGGAAAAAACAGACCAAGAGACATGACAGTGTCACGAGGCTTTATTCCTAAATAAAGACTACAACTATTTGCAGTAGACACACTCCAACAGAAAAATAAATAGTTCTCTCATCAATAGACCTTACAAGAAAAATACTTCTAAATTTGGTTCCAAACAATTATTTCTGTACCCTCTTATCGTGTATGAATGGAATACATCTCTTCTCTAAACAACGTTTTTTCATGAGACACAAATCTGACTGCTCTATTTTCATGAACTATATGTTGTTTTCACGAAGATACCAAGCCGTATGAAGCAACACAAGAAAGTGAAGGCAAGAAAGAATTATAAAAGGACATACCTAGGAGTTCAGCTTATCTATATACAGACATGTAGAAGAAAATTTTAGTTATTCAGATAATCTAGTTCAGCTTTTCAGCTGCACCACCACATTTCTTGTATACATCAACAATATAAACGGAAGAAACACTTAACCCAAGTAGTGCTACAATAGACGAGCCTCGTTCCAGTACCAATGTTCTGTTATTTGTCCATATATTTGTTTTCAGGATTATTTTTTTTTTTGGGGATGGGGGGGGAAGGGATTAATGAGATCAAGATCAAACAAACTAGCAAAAATTTCCAAAGCATGCTAAGAGTAAAAAATTTACCTAAGAAACAAACTTCTTTCACACGAATAAAAGCACAGATAATTCCCACAAAATATAGATAAGTTCAAGAATCTCAAGATCCTCTGCACAGGTAATACCATAATACTGACTCCAGAGGTCGAATTATGCAGGACTGACATAAAACTTATACGAGGTTTTCTGGTGAGTATGGTCTCACCACACCAATTAAATCCACAATATTAATACTACTCAAGGCACTGACATTTAGCACACAAGTAGTGGTGCATCAACTTATGTCCTGTTCGCAAATTGAAAGCATAATAAATGTGTTCTTCCCAGCACCTCTAGTAAAAGGCACTTACTTTCCAAGACAGAAGGCACACAGCATATGGGGCCATCATAAGCCAGAGATTTGCAATGATAAACTCGATCTGGAAATAGGCTTAGCAATCACCAAAGTTCTCATCCCGAGAAGATGTGTTCTAAATCACATCATTCAGACAGTAAGCGTCTCCGTTTCCCATAATCTGCATCCCTCGATCGAGACCTGTGATCCTCTTCTGGCACTGCTCGTGATCTGCTACGTGATCGTGAAGACTGTCCTCTATCCCAGTCATCCTCATAACCCAAGTCACGATCTTTATTGTGATAGTCTCGATACCCATCTTTCTCTTCTCTGTACTTGTACTCTCTATCATACCTGTCCCGGTCGTTCTCCCTCTCATCACGAGGCTTCTTCTCAGAGTTACTTGACCAGTCACGCTCAGCGTTCCGTTCCTTTTCACGGGGAGCAGCACTAGACCTTACTCCTTTATCGAGACTTGCTTCTCCGTATTCAGAGGCATTATCTTCACCACCATAACTAGATTCTCTGGTCCCTCGGCCTTGTTCTTCTCCTCCCCATCCACCCATGTTTGGGTCATTCCACATTCCCCAATGAGGTCCATCCATTCCTGCAGTCCCCATCATACCCATCCCATTTGAAACCATTCCTCGACCGAAAAAGGCAGGGTTGACATGAGGAGCCACTCCTGGTAGCCCCATTGGGTTAACAGCTGGAAATGGAGGAAGCATCCCTGGGAAAGCAGGACCTGAGAAGCCTCCATAACCAGCTCCTCGACCCATAAATGCTGGATCAAATCCAGGACCCATCATGCCATGCGGATGCATCATACCAGGATGTCCACCAAAAGCAGGGCTGCTTGTGAGGCCTTGTCCATAAGCTCCTCCACCGGCACCACCACCCGAACCAGGTGCATTCCCAATCATATTCTTTGTCCCCATAGAACCTCTTCCTCTCACAGGTCCAGTTGAAGGACCTCTATTAGGTATTTGCTGCCCTCCTCGTCCCCACCCACCTCGTCCAAAATTCCTCCCTGCATCTCCACTGGGATAATTTGCTCCATTACCCCGTCCTGCTCCATCATTCATGGGTCTCCTTCCCTGTGGCTGAGATGGAGCCTGGGCCTGGGTCTTGTTCATGTAAGAGGCACCCATCTGTTTTATGGTCTGTGGAGTGGCAAATGTCACCACACAAGCACGCCCATTAAAATGATGACCGTTCATTCCATCTTTGCATGCAGAGGCAGCAGCTGGATCATAAAATTCAACTTGACAATAGCCTTTGGATTTACCACTAGCTCTCTCATCAAAAAACTTAATTTCCTTGACCATCCCGTACTGGGAGAGCACAGTCTCAAGCTCGGCATCTGTTGTCCACCAATGCAACTCTCCCACAAAGAGCATCGTATTTCCATTTTCTACAGCTGGCCGTATCAGGTTCTCATTATCAACCATGCGATTCACATTCACATTTGCACTTTGATTCATTCTACTGGCTGAAATCTCTGGAACAACTCTTGAGCTGCCCACAGTAGAATTTGGTATAGGAGAAGGCTCGCCAGCTACTTTCCCTGACATGTTAATTGAATTTGCAGCAATTTTCTGGGGTATAGGAACTGATCCTTGAAATCCTAAATGTCCTGCTTGAGATTTATGAGTCATCTCAGATGTCATTCCCCTTTGTGAGGCATCAATAATCTGATCAGGTCCCCTATCAGCTGTCAAGCCACTCTTCTGCTCAGGACACTGGATCCCAGCGGAAGTATAATTCTGTTCATTAGCATTTCCAGCCCCAGGAATGCTCACCTCTTTTAAGACTCTTGCTTCTTTTCTAGCATCAGAAACATTAGCTTTTGGAGCTTGGGATTCACCATTGCCAACACCAAGAGCAGGCATTTTTGCCTCAGACTGCTGCAACTGCAGGAAACCCTCTCCAACATTAACATCATTGTAGAGATCATCATATTCATCATCCTCGCCTATCATTTCCTCCTCCACAAGCGCAGGTATAGCTCCAACTTGATGATATTGCATTTTTGGACCAGATTCCCCATCTCCATAATCTAATTGTTCATCTATCACGGGATCCATTCAGGCAAACCAAGACTTACCAATTATTATCTTCTCCTGGTTAATAAACAAAAATGGCTATTATAACCATGCTCATAACATTAAACACACAAATGAAAAGGGTCGGAGATGTCTACTCCAAATAGCTGAATATATTAACAGCACTTATTGACGAAGAGAAACTAATCAAAATATTGTGCAGAAGGGGGTTGACAAGATTCAGATCTTTCCAAAACCCCGTGGAAATAGACTTTCAACTTATCCATGTGATGATCAAAGTTGAACACCAACACATCTAAAGGAAATATCAAGAACCCAAAAGGAAAATCAGTTCTCAACAAAAAATAATAAAAACCCACCTCATAAAATCACAAAAAAAAAAGGGATAATTCTCCTAAATTTAATGAAAACAGTACCCAAGCACAAACAAACAAAAAACTTCAATGTTCGCATATAAATCCACAGAAATAGAACACATAAAGCAAACAAGGTTTACGGAGAAAAAGGTCAAGTATACTTATTAAACATCAGAATGGATAAGGAATCATCAAAAAAAAAAAAAAAAAAAACTATTAATAAACAATACTATTATTACCGATAGCAGATTACGGGAACACCCATATAAAGAAATAATCTGACGGGAATAATTATTGAGCAATTAAGGTTACTCTTGGATGGATTAAGAACTAATTAATGCCGGGTAGTGTTTTTTCTTACTCTTTTTTCCTTGTATTAGCTGCCGATGTTTAACGGAGACCTCTCTTTTCCTCCTTTTGTTCTGTGTTCTACGGGGTCTTTGTTCGAGTCAATCACCCAAAATTACTGGTTTTATTTACCATAACCATCAAAATCTTACACCTGGTAAAAATCATAAAGGTGTAAACAAATTATTAGAGCCTTCGGTTTTGATTTTTAATCAAGAAGCCAAGAAAACAATGGTCCGTTTGGTTAAATGTTTACAACAGTGATGTCAAAATCGGATCAGATCAGCCGATTCTTAAGCCAAAAACCGAAAAATTAAAATTGGTTAAGATAAATTAAGAGGTTATTTGGGAGATATTTTAATTCAATTAAAATTGAAAATACAGTCGTTATTGAGTCTCACTCGTCTAATAAAAGTCAACAATAACGACTAATTTTTCAATTTCAATCTGATTTTAATCTCTGCCAAACATTTCTCCACTCCGTCATCACCACACACCAACTTGCTTGCCAAAACCCCACCAAATCCAACTGCAATTAGTTGAAAATGCGAGTTAGTTTCATGTCACTCATGGTAGAGAAGTTCTTATTGTGTCGATCAAGTGAATAGTAATCGTATTGATTAGTGCATCTTAAGGAGAATTTTTATTTATATAGAGCATCTTATGAATTATGGAGATTATTTTTAAATTTAGATAGTCAAAAATTTTACGCACTCTAACAATATTATCTGTGATTTATTAAATGCAAGAGTGTATTTGACTCTCTAAATTTGGATAGTCAATCACACTCTCTATTTTAAAATGTTAAAATAAAGAATTTTTTTTATTTTTAAGCATTAACTCTTTAGAATAGCCGTAGAGAGCATTTTACATTTAGAGTATCTTACATATGCTTTTAGACTTAAAAAATAAAACTAGTTGAATAAATTATTTATTTTCTTTTTTTCCCAAACCTTAGTTGAATATGTTTACATCTGCCTATTTTAAAATTTTACATAATTTCACTTTACTGTCAAATAATTTTTTATTTTAGTTATTTCTAACTTCAATCAATAATTTTTTTAAAAAAATTTTAAAAACACATATTTACCAATGTTTTAAAAATCAGATCAACCATTACACTAGAAAAACGAAAGGAACAAATGCCAAAAAGTCGAATCGAAATCAAATCGGGGTCGAACCAAGCATTTAAAAAGTAAAGATAAATAAATACATTTTCAAATAGTAAACAAGGACAAATTGTAGTTACGGTTTCAAATCTTTCACTTTTTGCAAACTCTATCCAAACTTTTTATTTATGTGTAACTCACAATCTCAAACCTTTAATTTAATGGAAAACTTCATTCCCATCTCATTCCTTGCCTTCAACCCACTTGGAAATCTGAAGCCAATGGAACCGAAAACTCTATTTTATCTCCATAACCACCACTCCAGGTTCACTTGCAAAATTGCCCTGGTCACAAACATCACAAGCCAAGATGGCTCCTACTTAACTGAATTTTTGCAAAACAAAGACAACGAAGTACATGGCCTTATTCGCAGATCCTCCCATTTCAACACTCAACGGGCCAATCACATCTAATTGAGTTGAGCAATTTCGAACCGTTTCCAGTAACACTATGATCAATTTCCCAGCAGCATGATATTTGGAAGCCAAAAGTTTAAATTCGACTTTATTTTTACAAGCAAGTGTTATACCCAAGTCAAATTAACTTTGAACATAAATACTTTTAATATATAATTGATGCATTTCATTTATAAAAGATTTATCATTTAATTGAATTAATATATTAATAAATTAAATAATAGAATCAAATAGGCTCAATTGGATGCAAACTGGAAGTTTAGAAATTGTACGAAAGATCAAATAGACTCAATTGAATGCAATTTAAAATATAAAGCGGTGATCAAATACCAAAATTTGTCCAGAAAGTCGGCCTAAATGACTTGTTTAGAGTCGGGCCAGATGGTCGAGCCGATTGTAAACAGTCAGCACAGTTGGTTGGGCCAGCTCTTAAAATTGCTTATACAGTTAAATATACTCGGAATTACATATATAATTATTGCATTAAAACATGAGTCATAATTAAATAAACAATATTTACATTTTTTTTCATAAAATAATATACAGTGTCCTAAGGATCACAATTGTATTTAGACAAATCGCAAGCTAACTTCAACCTCCACCTATCTAACCAAGATTGGTTGATTGTATCAACCTTGTGACCAATACTAAAAAATTTCATTTACTTAATTGTTAATACAATGCAATCACCCTTGCAAGTAAATAATAAGATGTTATTTCGATATCATATAGTTAAAAACTAAGTTTTAAAATTAAAAAAATTATAAATACTTATAATATTGCTCGTCTCGTCCCCTGTCCCGTACAACAACTGGTCTGTCATGCACTTGAATCATCGTCTCTCTAGCCATCATGAGAACGATCAGAGCCATTGGCTCCAGTATTTGTTCCAATTGACCTTATGTCCAACAGCTATGATCGGAGGTGTATACATATATACTAAAATTAGCGAATACAATATCAATTGCAAAGCAATGTGAGCACTTGCCCGCAGCTCTTACCGCCCGCTAAGCGGGCGGAGCGCTCATTATCATTACTTTTCTTTTTGCTAGGGCCCTCCCATTGCTCCAGCCATAAGCTATGGCAGCTCCAGCTAGCAACCACAGGGGCTTGCCCTGCGAGGCCAGAGTGGGCTCAGCCTCCATTCGAATTATGTTAGGGGTTCTTTCGCTTTTGCCAGATCTAGAGAGATACTACAAGTCCTCCGTCCCAGATTCCATCGCCGCGGCCATCTGGTTCACCGGTACTACCAAAAAGTCTCATGCTTACCTTACTCTTACTGATGGTTTGATTATCTTGGACCACGAAGACCCTCGTCGTGCTTCTGGTTTCCATTCCCATCATCATATTGATGATAAATGTCCTCGTGCTCTGCTATAAGAACTTGGAGTCCGTATCATGGCGAAGATAAGGTTCCACCACTCAACTCCAACCATATTACCCACTCGAGCATATACTGAAGCACCACGTACCCAATCCCCTAGAATAGGAGCGCGCTATGCTCGATGTCAACGGCACGTGCAAACTTGACTAGGAATGTCAAATGATATCGAGTGCCTTCAAGTACCCTTCCTCATCTCTAACGTCCCCTCTGACATAAAAATGACATCCTTCGTCGTATCCGGCGTCCTATTCCCTCCACCCCTTCGGTACCTCCTCTGCTACATCCTCCGGTACTCTCTCCGCCATATTAGCCATATGCATCGTACTTAAGCTCAGGCTTATCCCATTGGGCATCGAATACCCCATCTTGAGGACGCGTAAAGTATTCTCAAAACATCTATACCCTCATGGATAATTGTTGAAGGCATCTATATAATCAACAACTTCCAAATGAAATCTATATATTTTTGTAATGGCACCTCAGTACGCTCTCAAGGATAAGCACCAAGCCCAACTTCAATTTGTTTAACATTTGGTGGCATGCCCTAAATGCATCCGCTAATTGCGACAGAGTTACCATTGTTTGTCTATGAAAATATTCATTCAACAACCTTTTATTTATTGGAATACAGAGCCCTCGCTTTTTGTTCGCCCGTACACTTCAATCCAACGATAAGGGAAAATTCAAATATAGAGAATCTAGCTACCTTACCCCTAGATCGAAGTGGAGTACATCGTCGTCGATTGACTTAAGCAACCGACAAAGTAATGCATTGAATAGCTGCCTAGAAAACTATACGTCGCGCAATGGATACAAGGGCCATAGATAGGAATGTCATTGCATATCTGCATGCTCATCATTGAACAACTCTAATACCGACGTGAAACTAGTAAAGTTACATCTTGCGAAATTTCAAATGGTACTCCATTTTGCGAATTTTCAAATGTTATAATCTTATATAAGATATAATTGAATAAAGCATAATATTAGAAAATTAAATTAATCGAATTGTAACTACTATACGCAAAAATTAAGAAATAATGGAATGAAGGAAATAAAAATTAAATAAAAATAATTAATTTTGAAAAAGAACAACGGTAAAAAATTTATGATTTTCGATATTGCAAAGACAGTAATTAAACAGAAATTACAATTATGAAACATAGAAATGAAATTAAAATAAACAGATAAAATTAGATTAAAAAGGATAATTTGAAAAAATCAACAAAATTAAAAATTCAAGAAACAAAATTAAATTCAAAAGACATTTACTAAACTATAATTAATATTATAAAAAATAATAATATAAATAGATAAAATTAAATTAAATTTAAAAAAATATATCGTT